AGTAGACCGTGTTAGAATCTTGAAATCGAGTTGCATTCAGGTAGGGGATACTAATTGCAAGCCTCAGTTGTGTGTCAGTCTAGCTTACAGTCCTGTCTGCAGTAAAGCGCGCAGATTGAGTATTGTTAGCTTAAACCAAGTTTCTGTTTGCAGGGGTGACGATTGGAGACGTGGCTAGTGGTTCTCTGGAATGCACTGCACAATTGTGTCGGTTGATGTTAAGGGGACAAATTCGACAATGGAGGCAGGGTTGTTCACCGCTGATGAACCAGGCAGAAAATGTGGGTGATTCGAGGGGGAGTAGATAAGTGGGAGGCATGTAATCGTGAATTCGACGTAGTAGCAAGAGAGAGGGTGTGAATTCATGGTACGTCAGTAGGTGAGTTACTGCGCAGTTGCCTAGGCCGAAGTACGTAGGCTGTCTTCGGGGACCACCATCCCGAGCCTTTGGCAAAACGACCTAATCCACAAGACAGCAAAGTGAGGTAAATGTTTCGTACCTAATGGAATTTCGGGACCGAAGACTCAACTCATGGGCCTTTCATCATCATTCATTATACACGTTAGCTAGAGGTGGGAAACAACTCAGCTACTCTGCCGCAAAAGAAAAAAGTGCAACAGGCGCAAGAAAGCTGAGCTACCGGTAACGGATGGGGATCGTTCTGATAAGCTACTAGCCGGCTACTGTGCATCAAAAAAATCACTATGCAAAATTATATAAGGCTAAATAGTGAGATGGTGGTTGAAGGGGTAGGCTAAGAGGGATGGGGTGGGACAAACAAACTCACAGCACGAACGCCACTGAGGTCGGCTACTAGTCATATCAGCAAGTGTATCCAGCCAAACGTGTTCAACGTCTTTCAGACCACAACCAGGAAACCGAGACGCACCAACCTAGGCCAGCTTCGAATTAAAAGCCCTCATATCATTAAACTAAATCATCGCTTGGCCACCTCTACTCTTTTGCCATCCACATCCCTGGCACGCAAACAACGCACGTCGCGGGAGCCGGTGGGCTGACATGCGTAACACGTGCCCGAGCCATCGAAGCCTGGTGCGTGAAATGACGGTGCTGAGCAGTTCAGTCCTTTTTTCTGTGCCGTAAACAAGGCGTCGAACACGCTCGTTCCTCACGCGGCGTTCTCACCAGATGTGAGCCAAACTGCGAAGGCACCGATGGTCGAACATAACTAGGCTCTTCAGGTCCGCTGCTCTAAGGGGCCAGGTTTTACAACCGTACAGTAAGGTCGAACGTGCCGCTGCATTGTACAGTTTACCCTTCAGGGCAAGACTGATGTCGCGCCGGCGCCATAAGTGGCGAAGGTTAGTATAAGCGCCACGGTTCGTGATCTTCTCTCCAAGCCAGCGGGCGCTGATACAACTTCCGAGGCAGTTGAGTTTTTGAAAGATTTCTAGCTAATCCCTACCAAGGGTCAGCGCAGGTAGTGGTCCCGGCCAGTCTCGGAGATTGGCCGGTGTCCAAGTGGTCTGCACGCCTAGCTTGCAATCACAAGGTCACAGGTTCGATTCCGCATAGGAGCAGGCGCACTCGCAACATATTCAACCCACGCGCCACTGGTGGTGCTCGCGCTGCAGCGAAGCGCCGTTGCGGCGTAAAGCTGACGATAATACGTGGAGAAAAGCTTTAAAATTCGAGATGGTGAAGCAAGGCCCGAAGTGACTGACAGCCAGTGCTAGTCAGCAAGCGCACCTTGGCACACCTAGGAGCTGTCACAGAGGGCGAGATAGTCAGAATACTACAGGAGGTCGTCCGCCTGGGAGCAGTTCCACACCTTCTAAGTCGTGTCATGTGAACGCGAGTTCCAGTACTTCGTCAATAACGAAGTTGAAGAGTAAGGGTAACAGCGGGCATCTTTGTCTCATACAGCTGGCGATAGTAGAGAACGGCTACAGCGTGCCCTCAATCTGCTACGTGCGTATAATGCTTAGAAAATTTTAACATATTTCACGGGCACACCTTACCTGAGTATACAGACCCAACGCGCCCTTCTATCAACCGAAGCTATAGCACTTTTGAAATCGAGGAGCCCAAGGATGGACCGCCAGTCTACGTGACGGTGTAAATATAACTGACGCAAAGTAAGCTGTGGTCGATGCATCCACACACTCGATGAAACCAGGCTTGCTTTTGATGAAGCTGGCTTTTATGAGTGCCGTGCAGTTTGCGTAAGATGAAGGAGTCAAGTACTTTGGAAGCAATGAAGATCAAACTGTCTTCTCTACGGTTACTACCAGCCAATCGTGAGCCTCGCTTAAAAATTAGGGCTCCGAGGTCGTGCCTGCGACTGCTCGGGACAGCTTCCTGTGTCCACAGTTTCACTAGTACCGCGTGTAAATCTAGCACAAGTGCATTTCTCCCAAATTCCAAAGGTCTGGAAGAAGGTTATCTGGTCCTGCAGCTCTAGTTAACTTCAGCGATCCGACCTCACGTTCGACTTCTGAGCGAGAGGGCGGATCCAAAGGGAAAGCCCACGGAGCAGCATGATCACTAGTCGGCGAGGAATCTGAAACTGCAACCGAATTACTTGCCTTTCAAAGCGCCCAGCCCAACGCTGCAAACGTTTTTACAAGTTGTGGATTGGCTGCCCACTCCCGTCATAAATATTTTCATCAACTCCAGGTCTCCTGCTGCCCGTATCAGATAGGATACCTTTTGATGGTTACCGAGGACAGCAGCTATTTCTATCTCTGATGCACGACAAGACCAGCAAGTTTCGCGGACACATTCCGGGTTAGCACGGAGGTTGGCCTAGATCTCTCAGCGAGTCTCATTGTGTTGTGCTTTCATCCGGAACGTGCCGGCGAGCAGCGAGACTGCGAAGAGATCCACTGTACATGTTGGCGCTTGGACTTTCCACATGAGTATTTGTCTGCTGCTAGTAAGGGCTGGTGAACATGAGACCAGTGCGCTTCAATCTTATCCAGTGAGCGATTACTCAATGCACATGGCAGCGTACTTTGCTAGGCGTAATGCAACAATAAACCCGAGATTTTCCTTCTGTTATACATGGCGGTGATACTGTGCTCAGGCTGGGGTACCGCATCTCGGCAAGGTTGTTGTTTGTATAGTGAAGTTCTCACACTTTGTGACAAGGATGATTGATGGCTAACGGGGGAATTCACGTGATAAATGCCCTAGAAACGGCGCAGGTTGACAGGAGACTTGGTAGGAATTTTTAAAAGTATAAAGGTTCTGGGTGATGTTGCGCCCAAAAGATAAGTACTGTCTTTTAGGTAAAATTGCATTGCTGCCTAATAGTACAATATTCTTTCTTGTTTTAACCTTCCTCACATCCGGCTCGACACTCGACTACTCTGTAAGTTGTCGCGATAAAGTTTGCTCCTGTCTCGCTTCATCCGTCCACGCGTTTTTGTAACGCACCGAATATATTCCGCTGTGTCCGACTTCAATAACCTGATATTCGTGCTCGATTATGCACACCGTCTCGGACTAGCATTTGCTAGTCCTTCGGTAGTATCCGGCTTTCCGATCTGTCTGAGCCTGCTGCTGCATCGGACCACCTGCGAAGACACAGAGTTAAGCTTAATCATAAAATGTCCAGGTTAGAAATAACGGTTAGTTTCTTTGCGGATCGTGCGGTTTGAATTTGGAACAAGCTGCCTTCTGCTTTGATTTTAGGTACCATTGTAGAAGCCATCAAGTGGAGGATAACTTGGAGCATCGGAACTTTGTATATAATGGAAATAAAAACTCCAGCATTACATGCCCTATAGGGTAAAATTGTTACTGTCAGGTCTGAGGAAATGCCAAGCAATCTTATAGCAGGTTGGATCCGCGTGTTAACCATATCAGCATTGGGCTTATGTGACATTTAAACAGAATGCATGCCAGCTGAAAGCATAACAGACCACTACGCTCTCGGGAACAGCTGGAAAGGAACTAGGTATAGGGGAAAAAGAAACGATAAAAATTCCGTCAATGTGTATACCGGAGGTGATGAGAATTGAAATACAAGCTGATGCGTCGGGTGGAGGCAGCTGTAAGTTGCTTGGGGCTAATGTGGAATATGAAATGAAGTAGAAGGCAGTTGTCTCAGTGAAGATGGTGGTGTAGCTCGTCAAGATGACAGTCCAGGCGGGTCCTAAAATGAGCCAAGTGCCGAAACTAGGTCGATAGACAGAGCATTCCACGGTCGGCAGATTCGCAAAACGAAGAAGTGTCCTCTGCAGTTCAGCTGACTGTGCTTGTGTGAGTCTCAGTGGGCGGTTACGTAGGTGGCAGCACGATTGGTGCAGTGTGAGCAGGTGAGGCAGGGATGCCTAGAGTGGGATAAGATAGTAAATCGTGGAGGAATATGTCTGGTATTAATGCGAATGTCGAGTTGTCAACCTGCGCTTCAGCTTCGGTGGCTTTTTATTTGTAGGGGGTGATTCCGGCATCAATAATGGTGAATAGAAGACCGGTCTACAGGTTGGTGAACAGCGGTCCAACGGCGGATGTGCCGGATGTAACTCCCCAACAAAATAAAGTCACTGTCAACTGCTAAACACTGGCAATAATCCCGTTAAAAGAACCTTGGGAGCACAACGACATATGAACAAATCCTCACCTTTTCGTCCAACAGAGTTTATTAAACCTTCTACCTGGTTCCAACGCACACGAAATATTGTAAATCAATCTCCGGAACTATTCAAATCCCCTGTTCACTTTTTCCATAATAAAGTAACTTATGGAATCTATTGTGCTTCCGCGCTACTTTTCTATCTGACTCCAATATACATTTCCATCATGGCAAGTACGCACCATTATTCGAACCACGTACTTTGAGAACACCTGCCTCCGTCGTTTGGTGTATATACGCTTATTTTATTTCTGTGGCTCTGACAAGCACTTGATCACGCCTATACTGATGTGGCTCGTTCATTCGGGGATGAAGCATTTATTTATTATACCTATTGTACCCATCTGATTATACCTGCAAAGGTGTGCCACGCCCCCCCGAGAATAAACCATTTATTTATTTATAACTAAGCGCCTCCAGCTGGTTTTTAAAAAGCCGGATGGGATTTTCACTGAAGGACCACGTGATGTCTTCGTTCGGCGCAGCCTCTTGTTTGCCATCCAGAACTTCCCCAACCGCATTTGCTAGAAGGGTCACCTTACTCGATCGACCGGACAACTCGGAAGATAGTTCGCAGCGCATCGTAACCGTGGCTGCATCTTCAGGTTCCATTTCAAATCTGGCCAATGGAGGTGATACATCGCATATTTCGGGACTGAATGCAAACTGTAGCCCACTCTCGTCACGTTCGGGACTTGGAGAGCAAGGAGATGCAAGTAACTTACTTGTTTGCTGAGATAATGGACCATTTCCTTCATATGGAAGACTGTGTTGTGATTCATCTAGGTTGATCGAGTGAGTCCCAGCATCCGAGCACGCGGACAAATCCAAACACGGCAAGTAGTCGGAGCATCCTTCACCGACCTCTGGTAAAGTGACTTGGTCAAATGTGCCTTCCTCAGCAAACTTCAGTTGGAGTTGGGAAGCTGAACTTGATTTCTGCAACGGGACTATGACTTCATTGGCTGCGATGTTGTCCAAAACCACACAGCCTACGAAGGTTTCACGTCTGGAAAGCAGAGGGCCGGAAGCTTTACATCCGTGTCCCCGGTTACTGATAAACGTGGCTGGCTGTCCCAATTCATCGGATGTCTGCAGTCGACTGGCAATCTCTTTGAATTGTCACCTGCTTATGCCTGCTGACCAGACGGTGTACTGGATCCTAATGGAACTTGGGCTTTAGAAAACTTGGAATCTTATCCAGCGGCAGTGACTGCACAGTACAGACTTGTGCCTTTCTTGAGTCTGCGCCTGAAATCTCTGTTGATATTGTCTAACTCGTTCAACTGAGTTCGTTAATTGTGAAACAGTGACGAAAGTTCTAAGCCTGTGCGGAAACCAGGCATCGTCGCGTCTTGTGTGATCAAGCCGGCTGCACTCAGGGCTGGAGCGGTGTGTTTTCACCAGGCATATCTGTAGACAAATAAAGCTTTTATTCTCGACAAGACGAGGCACGCCTTTACAGGCATGATCATTTTGACATAACAATGCGTGATCATGTGTAAAAATCCGATATGTTTGCCATAACAGTGTATGTTTGTGTAGCAGAGTATGTAAGTAGGTACTTGTGTGTGCGTATGTAGCTGTGTAGTTTGTGCTTGTAATTGTGCTGCTCCATTCTTGGATGTTTGATATCGTCAGAAATGTGCAGACAGTATACGCCGCATATGCGATAACGGGAATGAACACGTGAATCTGCCATCGGACTGAAAAGGTTGGTGGTCCAAATTTAGCACTTCGGTGCTTCCAAAACGGGGCAGGGTTGTGGCGGACTTCAAGCCTGGAATAAGCGGCCTCGCACCCAACAATACTAGTCTACAATGCGTACCGCAGCTGTTTACCACATTGTACCATCCGTAGACCTGATCCAATCCGCCGAGACAGTCCCATTTGGGGCGTAACCACCAGGGCCAACGGAACTAAATAGGCCTGAGAGCAATGTTAAATCCATCGAAGCAATACCAATGAGTTCCGGCTTACTTCCCATCGAAGATGGATCGCAGTTACTGACCGGATCGGTGTCCGAATGTCGTTCGAGCCATACGTGTAAAGGAAGAGCCCGTGGTGTCCATGGCTCTACAATTCAAGTGAGAAGGCGTGCAAACCTCCGGTAATTCCAAAAAACTGAAGTCTCCATCGGCACTTCTCGTGACATAGATGTGACTGCTAGTTGGCTTTTGCGGGCGTTAGCCACACGTGTCCACAGCCTATCATATGAGCTTAAAGTTACAGTTTTGTCCCAGTCTACCGGAAACGTAAATCGTACACTTGACTGCCGCGCAACCATTATCAGTCGCACGTGGGATAAGAATATTGTGAGGGTTGTTCGGCCCCTACGGAAGCTCGAACCTGCGCCCTCGGATTACAAGGTAGGCTTGTGATCCTAAATGCTATGCTTTGTCCTAGAAGCTATATGCATGGGTCCCATCCTCCCAAAGCAACGCCTGAATGAAAGAGTTTGCCACGCAACGTCGCTTAACGTAGGCGAACTTTTTCGGATTGGTCGAATAATGACAGTTAAGTTCTTCTCGTACTCAAGCCGTGCCAGCTTAATATGTAGCATGCGCATATTCCGAATCATCCAATACCTGTTAAATGTGATGGTCGACGGAGCTGCTCGATAAGTTCGCCAGCATCCAGGCAGTTTTTTTGCAGGTTCTTCCCCAACAAAATCAATTCACGTAGGCTGTGTACTCGATACCTATTTTTATGCAAGCGCGCAATCCCTACGGCTACCGGTCGAGATCACCCAAAGCAAGCTGATCAATAGATAGTACTTAACCTCACCCTATACATCAGGAAAATCTATGTGGCTTATGCGAAACATGGATATAAGGTAGCGGAGAAGCAGCAATCCTTCAATGAATAAACGACGATGCCGAAATGGGAAATCAATTTAAAGAGCAGCAGGTCAGAAGAAAAATGCACATAGCAGCCAGGAAGATACAGCCGTAGTTCAAAACTTTAAGCAGATTGTACAACCGTAGTCCCAGAAAGTAAGTTCATGAGATCAAATACTAGTCTCCATAGGCGATTCCGCACGCGACACATATGTCGGGGCACTTTGTACTGAAAAATGTCGCGACCAAAAGAAGAAAGGAAGCGGGAGGAATTAAATAGCCAAGATAAATCAGGCCGTTATTACCACTGCGTTCTAACCTCCTCACTGAATACTGAGAGGCTTTCGGCAAAATCTAGATTGATGTGGAATTTCGGCCGCATCAACGTTAATCAGTTACAGAACAGAAGGTTACAAATCAACTGGATTCCAGGATGAGCGCACACCACATTACAACAACAATGGAGCGTAATCAAAGATGAGCTTTTGCAGGTTACGGACGAGTTTGTTCCGTTGCGCCGCAAGAGACAAATCAATAAACCCCGTTGCTGGCGTCGGAGATTTAATGGGACGATGCAGAGACGCAACAATTCCTGGAGAAAGTTTAAGGTGTTCGGAGGATTTAGACGTTATCTACATTAAAAGAAATGCCGGAACACGGTAGTCAACTTACGGAAACATGCGAAATACAGATATAAGCTTAGTTTAGCTTGAAATGCAAAGGCAAGACCGAAGATGTATTACCGTTATGTTAATCGAAGGCTTACTTTAGAGTGGGGCTTGGTAAGTAAGAAGAAGATAAACATCAGCAGAAGCATCGGTACTGCGTCCCGATGCTTCGCTGCTGCGCAACCACCACCCGTCGCATGTGGGCCAAGGATACTGCGAGGGTCTCCCTGCCCATACGCAGGATCGAACCCGCGCCGTCTGATTACAAGACAAGCTACAGGCCAGGGGTTAGTAAGTTAATAACGGATGACGGTGTCATGCTAGAGGATGCAGAAAAAGTGCAGTGGTTGCTGCGCATCTTTCAGGACGTATATCGTGCAGACAACGGGTGTCCTATCAGCTAGTAGCTTCATGGTAAAGTTGAGAGTATGATGATACACGATCCATTAACTGCATATGAGGTCCTTGATGTCTCGGTAAGCTTGGATTATGTAAATCGGCTGGACCTGATAATGTGCATCTTGCCACTGTCAAGCCGTTTGCTAAAAGACTACCTGCTGTCTTGGACCAATTCAAGATGTCACTTCGGGAAGGTAGGCTGCCACAAGAATGGAAGGAGGCAGCAGCTGTAGCAACACAAGGGAGGTTCTACATCAGCCTTTGCCAAATATATGCCTATCAACCTTATCAAGAGATTGTTTAGATGCTTGGAAAGCGTACCAGGTACCGAATTTGTGGGTACTTACTTGCTCTTCCTTGAAAAGTGGGGAGAAACACGGCTTCGTTGAGAAAATGTCATACCTAACTAAACCGCCGTGGTTTCTGGATGAGATTACTCGCTGTCTTAACGATGAGACCGCAGTAGAATAGCCTGACTTTAGCAAGGTTTTTTACTATGTAACCATCGTTTCTCATTGGGTAAAGGACAAGATTTAGGATATATATCCGAGTATTGCATTGGATAGTATATCTTCTTCGCGGAACCTTCTGAGTAAGGATTGGTGACTCCAGCTCAAGCACAGGCAGCGCTCACAATTGTGCTCCCCAGAGTCATGTTCTAGATCGGCTACTGCCTTTTCTGTATATAAATGACTTAGTTCCTCTCCTTAAAAACGTTTGCTATATTTATGCGGATGATGTAAATCTTGTAAACAGGTGCAACCGTGACGCGCCATCAAAAGACATTTGCACTGTGGCGGGTGGTCGTCCATGTGAGAGTGGCCTGTTAATGCCAGCATCGAAGGAGATACAGTACAAACTACTGGCGGCACCTTGATGTTGGGCCGCATTGATGAAGCACGCGGTCTGGGTATCACTGTGTCGAGTAACTACACCATCAGTAAGGTGTCAGTACGCAGCCATCAAATTCAAATGGGACAAAAGCAAAAGGAAATTCCCATTGTCGTTCCATTTTGTATGCGTCGTTGATCCACGTTACAATGCGGTGACAAGATCGGCCAGATGGAGCCAAATCAGCACGTACAAATTAACTCACGGTTAACCAATACAAACCCACATGGCCTGCGCTAGCAGTCTCCGTTGCGCCGGCCGCGTAAAATAAAAAATGAAAAGAAAATTGTAGACTAGATATAAGACGGAAGAGTACGAAAGAGGACAATGAAGTCGGTAAAAGTGAATAAAAAGAAAGATAGCTAAAGAGCAACCAGAAACTAAATTAAGAGAAGGGGAATATTCGGAGTTGCAAGTTGAGAGCGTCGAAGCGACGCTTGAAATCTGTCACTGTGGTTGACAGGACTACGTCCTCAGGTAGCGCGTTGCAAGAATCTATCACCCGGCGTGACAACCGCGCATCAGCTCAAACCCGATGATATCTGAGTTTGTGCAATATCATCGGATGCCCGCGGAGTAGGTAACTGTGAAGGATGAAAAAGACGATAGAAGTCTGGACCTATCCGCCGCGTCATTATACAATAAGCGAGAAGCAGGTCACCACGAAGACGACGATAATGTAACGAAAACATCCTTTCGTTGAGCAACGTGTCAAGATAGAACAGCTGCCGCACCCGTGGACCATTTTGGTTCCAATTCTCAAGACCCGCTCTAACACCATCCTGTCACGATTCAGACAAGTAGGACAATCATGGACGCAATATTCCAGCTGCGATCAAACAAAGGACGTAAACAACTTAAGGATCCCAAATGAGCTGCGGATCATGCAGAGGATTCGAAAACCCCTGCAAGACGCTTGCTTCCAGTGCTTGCTGGATTTAAAGTCCTGAGACAGTGATCTCTAAATCAATTCATTGGGATAGGTATTTCATTATTGGTAAGCATGTAGTGCATTTTCGGACCATTTTATCCTATGCGCATAACTGAACATTTGCTATAGTTTATTGGCATCTGTCACAGAAGAGACCAATTGAGGTGTCTGTCAAGAGGCTGTTGCAGAACTTGTGAGCCATCGCCGTCGCTCATCCTGCACCATAACATTAAGTCGTCGTCGAACATGAGGGTAGGCAGTCCCCGCAATTCTGGAAGTT